AAAGTGTCTTGACAGAATAGTTGTAATGTGTATAAGGGTTTAATATTGGAGAATTTTCATCCTGAACACCCTTGGAAGTCAAAGAGCAGTCTAAAACTATTAATTTCATCTTAGGTCATTCTTTAATTTATCAGAAGGGATGATTGTATTAAGCACGGATGCATAGCTGGCTATAAAAAAAATACATTTAATTTATCAGTAATGTCTCCCATTTGATTTATGTGTACCTTTATCTAGGTTGGTACAAGGGAATGCCTGTTCCTCAAGACATCTACATGTTATATGTGGTAGAAGCTGGATTCTATTTCCATTCTGTATACGCCACACTGTTCATGGATCTGTGGCGAAGGGATTCTGTTCTCATGATTGCTCATCATATTGTAGCTAATTTACTCATTCTGTTCTCATTTGCAATGAGGTGAGGTTTTAACTTAAAATTGACCTTTGCTTATTAAAATGTGGTAGAAGTTACTATTAGATTTAATTTGGTAAGTCTATAAAATAAACCTAATTTTTTAAAGAACAGTTACTTCCAGTGGTAAATGTATTTAATATTTAGTTATTATGGCAATAGTTGCCTGTCTGTGTGTCTTAAGCTTTGTGAGAAATTGAAGGGTACATTGCTGGCCAGTCTAGAAAGTTTCCTTGTAATAAGGAGAAAACACATGATGTTACCTTTCAGGTACCACAGTATTGGCCTTCTGGTCTTATTTGTTCATGACCCAACTGATATTATACTTGAATTCACTAAACTGTGCGTTGCTTTCAAGTCACGTGGTGGAAAATACCATCTCCTACCAGATGTAATCAGTGTAGTTGGATTTCTGTCTTTTGCATTAGCTTGGTAAGCAAATTAAGGTAATTGAATAATTAAAAATCTTTTAACTTTACATCAAAGCCATGCTCTGAATGGAAAACCTACTAAGAGAATTTTCAAGTTGATCATATCATGTCTTGTAATTTCTTAGAGGAGCACATCCAACAGCTTTAAGTTCAGTATTTTGATAAATTGTGTCAGGTTGGAAAAATTTATCCATGCCTAGATCCTGTGTAGAGTGTTTGGCATGAGCTTTTTACCTCTCTGAAAACTCCATTTGGGTTTGTGCCGATTAACCTGCAATAGACTAGCTTAAGGATCCTATCCAGGACATGCAGCAATACTTATGATCACTTTGAGCTTAGTTCAAGACCAAGACAAGCTCCTTGATTTGTGGGCCACTTGGCTATAATCCTTAGATTTTTCATTCACTTAATACGGAATGTTGTGTTGTAGGTTTTATTGCCGCCTTTACATCTTCCCAATCAAGGTGCTCTACTCTTGTGGCTGCATCTCTTTGCTTTTCCTTCCTCAAGTCCCTCTGTACTTCTTCTTCAATGCCATGATCTGGCTACTATTTTTGATGGACATTTGGTGGTTTCATTTCATTGTGTTGCTCATCATTCGTATCGCTGTTGGAAAAAGCAGTGGTGTGGAAGACACCAGAGAGATTCCCAAAGATTCTGTGAAAGGTGAAGAACATGGAGGAGTAGCAAATGGGAAAGTGTTACAAAATGGAGAGCTACATAACTGTGCAAGTCACATTGAGGCCACACATACAAAAGGTTTGTGCTGAGAATATTTTTGGGAAATAATCTTTTTTAAGTCAGCAAATTTTCAGTAAGTTGTATGCTTTCCCACCTGGACTTATGATGCTGTGCTCCCTCATGGTAAGAGAACATGTTGCTTAACAAATCCAAAAATGATTTATTTCAGAATTCAATCAAATGTGTTTGAGGTAAAAGTGGTGGAGAGGAGGGATCCTATAACCAAAACATGGTCTGCCTTTTTTTCCTGTTCATTTTAGAAAACATTGCATATTAAGTATAATTTTTATAATGTGTAACATTATACAACAAAATCTTTTAAATGTGCCGAGATGGGGCATTTCCTTCCCACCCAAGACATAACATTCTGTACCTACCTCAACTACAGGTCTACATCCCTTTGGAACTCTGATCCAAGCATGATACACAGCTAACTCAGTTGGTTACTTTGCTGGATTCTCAATCAAATAATCTGGGTTAGAGCCATGGCTGTGTCTTTGTGTTTTGGTTTTTGGGTGGGACACTTTCATTTTTATAGTACCTGTTCCCAACCCTGAAGTGCAGATCAGTACATAACCGCTGTAAGGGCAACATGAGGAAAATACCGGGAGGGAATGTGAGAACCTCCTGTTGAACAGCATCCTGTAAAGGGGAGAGTAGCAGTACTCCGTATTTGTGCCACTGAAACTGGGACAAACTGTAGCAGTATGGGTCCCCTCAGTGGTAAGGTGACCTTACTTTTACCAATAGACCCAGCTAGGTAGGATCAACTGTCCTGAACTCTCCTTCCATGAATACAGACTAACATAACTTTTTTTATGACACGATTATTAAGGCACATGAAACACATCAAAAAGTAAAGAGAAACATTCTGTAGATTTTAGAATCACTACTTTCTCAACTAATGCAATTGGGAAAGGTTTTCTTCTCAAGCATGTCCTTTTCCTGAAAAAGAAATTACTGTACATACAGGGTGAAATGTATTAGATAAATTCAGTGTTATATAACTGTGATAGACCTGCATTCTATATCCTTTATTTGCAGCTGGACAAAGGAAGTACAACAAAGAAGGAATCAAAAAAGGGGAACCAAACCAAAATTGTGACAAACAGAAAGACAATGAGGAGCCAGGCTTCCGCCGCAGGTAGCCACGCACCAAACCAGCTAATCCATAGAATGAATGCGGCCATGCACCATGCCAGCTAATCCATAGACTGGATAATATGACTTTGGAATAATTTTATGCTCAAGAGACTAAAAATGTCCCTTATTTATTTATTTATTTATTGGCATCATATTACTACAGGGGCCAAGAATATATGTTTTAGTAATAACATGTATTGATAATTTATTTATGAAGGAGAGAATCATCCTTTGGTTGGAGATAGACGTTGTTGCTTGCATAGCATTAGGCCTTATGGCCGATTTGGGGTTATTGACATTTATTTAATAATGTATTTCCTTGAAGCTTCTTCAAAGTTACAAATATTCCTACCAGCACAAATTAAGTTACTTATGAGGAAGTAAATCACAGTTAAGTTATGAGTATATATTGTTGCTTGCAAACTGGTTTTATTGAAAATTTTAATGTTACATTTTTACTTACTTATGGCTTTTTCAAAGCCAAGAACATGAACTTTCAAGTTTTCATTTTACTGATAATTTATTCATAAAGGAGAAAATTGTACTTGAAATTTGTTTTGAACAGATATTGTCACATGGAAACCGGTTGGCAGAAGTTTGATTTTAAATTATAGGACAGAGTAAGCTATTTTCCTATTATTACCCACAGTAATCGTGGCCTTTTCATGCTAGGAACTCTCTCTAGTATTTCAATACAAATTTAATTTATCTATGAAGAAAACTGTGGTTTAATTATACATAGACTTAGTTACTCACAGACAGTAGTAACTGGTTTAGTTTCACTTCTTAATCTTATCTACGTGTGCGGTGATTAGAGTCTTTTCAAACCAAGAATCTCCTTTCTAGTATTTTTGTATGTATGCAAAGAAAATCATTGGTTTAATTCCTAGGTTCAGTGTACTCCTGTAAGAACTCAGATTGGAAAACCTTTTTTGTTGGAGGAGGTCTTGGTCATTTGTGGTCTATATTTCATCAGATGCATGTAACTTTAGGCTTGTGGTGAGTAAATGAAAAAAGGAATTTAGCCAATTTGTTCAGGATTTAGTAGGTCTTAGTCGTCAACTGGAGATCGTCTTTTAATAGTTTATATTTTATCAAATGCATGTAACCTTATGTACACTCGTGGGGATCAAATAAAAACAACAAATTTAGCCAATTTGTTCAGGATTTGCTAACAAAAGGGTTTCTTCTTTCGTTTATATGTCTGCTTTTGAAAACGATTAACGCGCAATGACGGAATCTCACTGGCAACTGAATCCGCCAAATACGATAAGTGTAGCATGCTTTTGTTGCTAACTAGCCTTCAACATCGCAAATAGCAATTATCTTCTGTCAATTATAAGAGGAACGGAGAGCCATTTTTCAACGGTTCGATGGGTTCTCGCCAAGACTTGCGTGTAACCCCTACTTCATTAGACATACATTTCTTGACAAAGGCATCTACGACACAGACAATACATTGCCGTTGCGACTGTAACTTTGTTTTAGAATCAGAAATCGATGGTGAATTGTATATTAATAGTATTTTTTATGTATTGATTACCAGTTTATACCAGCGTTTTTTTAATGATGAATTCGCTAATCAGTTTTTCAGTTAAAATATAGCATTTATCATTATTATTAAAACAGAATGCACATTTTATTGCGTGTCATAGGAAACCATTTTTCAGTTTCGTATCAGATTTTGGTTATCTTAAATAATCTAAATAACGGCTGGGTGACCATAAATTACACCAAAGCATGAAGAAGCATAGTCTGTTCCAGACTCTCAGTCGGTGGAAAACGTCAAATGGTTGTTGTCAAGGAAACGGCTCCGTAAAAAAAGCGTGGCGGTGGGTGGAGTGAGGCATTAACACAATTCTTACAGGCTCTCTTTGCCATTTTTCTTTGCCTGATCCTCGCCATATTTCGCGCACCTACTCTTTTGACCATTTCCACTTACTGAGAGCTTAAAGGGAGCTACAGTTACTTTATCCGCCATTGAAAAGAATCGCATTCCATCATTTCTAACCTCCCAATCATCCACCTACCCCTATATTATATCACGTAGTTTTGTGAAAGAATTCTTGACTCCTTAAGCCCCAACATCAGAATGCATATTCTCCATACTGTTCTGTACATATATTTTGAGGTGCTGACAGGGAGAATGTGTCTAACGATCATGAGCTTATTTGGTTGGTGATCATTTATTCTTGATTCTCGTGACCTTTACCGTATTCGTACGTGCATAGGCTGCACTCGTGAATAAGCCGCACCCCGACTTTTGACCATATTTTCTTGAAAAAAAATAATTTCACGTTTTCTCGAAAGGGCAAAAGGCCAGGCGAGTGCGTGCCGCATACCACCAAGAAATATTTGTTCATACCACAAAATACATCACGATAAATAATCTGACATAGCGTGCCATCGATCGAACAAACATGCGAAATGCAAACAACAACGGCTAGTCATATCTTCAAAAAGGTCTTAAAGTTAAAAAAAAGGTAAAAGAAAAGCTACCTGGGTAATTTTTGCTAGATTTGTATTCCAAGTACACTAACATTTTGTTTTATTTCCTTAGTAATGATCGCGTGAAGTTGCGTACGTGATCGGGGACACGAGTAAACATACCTTAGCGGCCTTGCCTCTTGATTAACATAGAAAGATTTAAGTTATACCGTTTGCACAAAATTTATTTGGAAAAAAAGTACGGTCTATACACTTGCGAATACGGTATGTGTGATTCAGGGATGGTGTTGTTTGGAGAAATTGGATGATAGTCATTCTTAGGTTTAAAGGGTTATACCCACCAATATAACTTTAACAAGGCCTTCAACCAAGACCAATTAATGTGAAGTCCAGCATATTCTAACATACATTAACTAGACCATTGTGCTCTGCTTAAACATGTTTACTTTTAATCTGATTTTAATCTGTAGTAAATAAGGGAATAATACACACCTTCCTATTTCAAAATCCTGGCTCAAATACTCTCTAAAGGTAAATTAACATCTTCCATTTTTTTTACTGATCTTGACATGTACAGACAGTCTATCTGGGAGACGTTTCCCAATATAACTGTTTTAATAATTGTTTGGTTATGTGGCTCCCTTCATTTGAACCAATCTCAGATAACCAGTATTCCTTTGACCATTATCCTGATATTGCAGCACCATTAAATTAAAGTAATCATATGCCAAACTGAGTCTAACATCTTGTTACTGTGGATGGTCTGATGCCAATTTAGCTGTGAGTTGTCTCTCCAACTCTAACTGTCGTTCTTGTGCTTCCACTTTGTTACGCTCCTCTTTCTCCTTTTGTGATTTAAGTTTCGTCGCTCTCCTCTGAGAATGTAAATAAAAACAAAATTAATCATCCTTTGTTTAAATCTGCAATAAGTTGCATAATTTACCAGTTAAGGTCAGATTTTGTATGTAGAATGACAAATAACAGCTCACACATCTCTCTGCATTTCACACCCCAAACATGACAGCAAGACCAAATCACATCACAGGCAGCTTGATGGCCTGTTCATTGCAACTACTGAATGGTTTCTTTCACATCCCCTGCTAAATGTAACCGTATAACACCTGTGATGCAGAACACCAGTGATCAATGCTGTGTACTCCTCAACTAAGAGACTAACATTTCTTGACTTTCAAAGAGAGTCCATCATTCCTAAATCAGTCACTTTATAACCCCAAATGTTGGTTCATATTCATGCTGAACAGCTAGGTATTATCCAGAATTTACACTAGCCCCAAACTACAGTTCTATTCATTTCAAATTCTCAACAGCTTGAATTTCAGTCAAGAAAATTTAGTATTAACCAATTTACTCCATGATTTTATTATCAGTTCTCCACACTCCTGGCAGGCTTTCATTGTTATACAATGTCATTTTGGTCTTAACCCAAACAATATACCCTATTTGATCATTTTTTTCCCTCCTCACTGCAATTCTGTGCTAAAGTGTATTGATCGTTTAATGTTTTTGCTCCATAACAAAAACAATTTTGTTATGATGTGTAATCCAGAAATCTATGTAGTACCAGTCCTTTGATTTCTGTTGTACCATTCACACTAATTATGAGCTTTTAGGAGAGAGAGGAGATAATGGCAGAATTGTAGAAAATTGAATGATAAGTTAACATTGATAAAAGCCTCTTCATTACTAAGTCATTTCTTCAAAGTTCATCATTCTGGTACTTTAACCATAGCCTAGCCTCTAAACTGGTTATAACAACTGGTTAACTAGTTGACAGGTTAACAATGTTTTGGTAAAAGACAAGCAGAACCAAACTAATTATTTTATATACCACACTGAATGACCCTGCTATGTCAGCCAAACTTAATTTCTTAATCAGATGCACTTTAGAACCAAAAAAAAAAAATCCTATTGTTAGTCTCAATATTTTGGTTCAAAAAGTATGTTGTGTCAAAATCTATTTTTCCACTTTTGTTTTCAATAAATATCCCCACCTTGATAAGGAAAGCGCACACATGAGCAAGGTCATGATGAAGGTCATCAGATTCCCAAAGGGAACCAAAATAACAGTTAACAAAACAATTTTAACATCACAAGATTCAACAATTGAAAATAACAGAAAGGAGAAATCTCTTGTTGCAAAGTATAATTTCTGCAATATTCTCAGTTGCTTTGACTTGAATTTCTTTGACACAGTCTATTTGAATCAGATGAACTTTCGACAACTGCTAAACTTTTGTGAGAATTTTAGGAAGGGTATCAGTATTCCAATATTATCTCACCTGCAGTCTAACAACCCTGTCTTCTATAACATCCATATCATGTTGGATTTTGGTGAGCTTGGAATGATATGTTCGAACGTAAGAAAGCTGAAAAGCAAGATACATCAGTTGACATTGTTGATTGTTTGGTCTTAAAAAGAGTGAGAAATTCCTCTTCCTTCAATGAACTAAAATTTTGTCACAGATTTTTTTTAGAACTCTAATCTTAGTCCTGTTGATAAATAAGAAAGCTGAAAAGCAAGATATATCAGTTGAGATTGTTAGTTGTTTTGGTTTAAAAAGAGTGAGAAATCCCTCTTCCTTCAATGAACAAAAATTTTGTCACAGATTCTTTTAGAACTCTAATCTTAGTCCTGTCGATAAATAAGAAAGCTGAAAAGCAAGATATATCAGTTGAGATTGTTAGTTGTTTTGGTTTAAAAAGAATGAGAAATCCCTCTTCCTTCAATGAACAAAAATTTTGTCACAGATTCTTTTAAAGCCCTAATCTAAGTCCTGTGGATAAGTCTCCTTCTCTCGCCACCATCTCACTGAATGATATATTGCTGTTGTTAGGAGGGTAACACATTCATTGTTGCCTTAAGTTATTGACCAAGTGGCAAAATATTAATTTTACCATGACCAGAAGGTTTCTTGCTGCATGACATTCTGCAAACTTTGCATTTTCCTGTTGCATAGTTTCAATTAAAATTCCTTGATTTTGCCTGAGGTAAAGATAAAGAATTGCAAAAGTAAATAGCAAAAAGTAAATGATGATGGGCTGGTAACAGTGAACAATTTATCACATATAACCTAGATATTGATCTAACTGTCAGTCAGCCAGAAGGTAAAAACATGCAAGGTTCTCCTTCAAACAGACGTGAGACTGTATGACTCATTTTTTATTTTCTTCCTTTCTTTGCACTTGTGAAATATCTGCTCCACAATTGCCCAAAGTAGGAAGATTTTTTTTTATTGAAAAGGTCTAGTCATTTTTCCAGCTGTCAAGCATTAACCCACATCTGCGCTTGAATTAGAATGCCAGACTCAACAAATACATGAAGGCTCCATACCTTGATCACAAAGGAAGTACATTTATAACCAACCTGAACTCAAGGTAAGCTCACAACACAAAAATAAACCATGAAAATATCCAGAAAAAAGATAGCCAGGGACTCATAGTAAACAATCCAATCTGGAATAGATTTAAAGAAAGCTATACATTGTTTTGCTCTATTGTGTTCAACATCTTTAGTAATCTTGGGCCATTTGGGAATCAACAGTCCAATAAATTAAATCCTGATGGCTAAAACTCACTCCAGTGACTAACAAACCACTCAACTCTACCCAAATACCTCCCTACCCCAGTCCATCCCCCCCCTCCCTCCGGAGTTCCCAACTAGGATTTTATTACCCATGTTTTTCCATGGCTGCTCAAAGGCCCTTGTGCGGTGTGATATGTTCTTTCATGTTAAAATTTTATTAGATCACAAGCTAATATGAATATAAATTTCGTATCGTGGCAAATTTTCAGGTGAAAAAAATCAAGCATCGTCCTAACTTAACCTTACGTAAGTTCCCCAAGCCGCTCTTTCAGATTCTCCAAACCGGGAGCGAAAGCGTCCAGAAAACCATTAGTCAGAGCTTCTGTCAGATTGCTTTCACTCTGTAGATTTCTGTCTCCAGTTTCTGCATCTTCACCCGCACAATTATCACTCATTTCTCTGAAGGCAGTAAGCCGTTATTTAGCTAACTAAAGATTACTCTACTTCCCGAACGAGAGTTAAATCGATAACATTCCGACAACTAAGCGATTAGGAATCGAGACAATATCGACGGGTACGAAAATGTCTTAATAAGGAGTGTTTACTATAACCCGCTGACCATCTACAATGGTGCGAAATTTCGAAATCGTGACATCGTGGATCGTGACTTGTCTTGAATATTTTGAGGAGCGATGGAGGACCGGCTTCTGCCCGGCGTTTGTGAAAACATTTGCTCGTTTTTACACTCCTTTTTATGGCACTGATAATATTCTATTTCGTTAGATTTTCAGCGCCATGTCCGATGTGTCACCCTATGGTGAGCGTGTCGAATTGAGGAACCGACAGGGGTCATTTTCGGTCAGAAAAAACAGTTGGAAAGATTTACAGGTCGCCGTGAAACAAACAAAATCTCTGCAACAAAGTCTGGTAAATCGAGTGCTTCATTCATTTACATTCTGCGAGAACAAGCTATATTTTCTGGCCGTTCCTTTTGGAAGCCGTGAGAACACAATCCACTATGTCGATCTGCCTGGACAACACAGTTCTGCCAATGGTGAGAAAGAAAACGATTTTTCTCCTCTTCCGTGGAAACCTTTACTTGACTCATTTAAGATCAGCCGTTCGTTTTCGGGATATTCAAGGGAAGAACAGTTACTGCGGGAGAGGAAACGCCTTGGAGCATTTGGAATCACCGCTTACGATTTCGATGAGACATGTAGAAGGTTCATGTTTTCTGCGTCAAGTAGTTTGTATACTTGCACAGATTGGCGAGTTGACGAAGAGGTAAGCTTAGGTTGGCGTTGAGAGTTTAACGACTATATTTAATGATAAAGCGTTATGGTTGCATTGCGTGGTTTTCCTATACAAGGAGATCCATCGGAGATTTTAGTTTCCTTTTGTACAAGTAGCGTGATTACGAGGGTTTAGTTATATTACATAACTTAGACAAGCTAGGAACTGTTGAGTATTTGCGATCTACAATTTATTTTCAATTCAGTCGTGGTAAATGAACAGGAGTAAGCTTAGACTGTATTTCAAGTGTTGATGTGATCCGTAATTAATGCACGTGAGTGATTTCTTTAATCGTGTAAACTTGATGTTGTAATATTTACGCTGTCGATATACAGTCAGTGTTAAATCACGTTATTGTGTTTGTTTGAGCATTCATGGCCCAGCTAGTGGTATAGAATAAGACCGAATAATGTTCCATCACCCATCTGTCTCTTGTATTCTGTAAAACTTGCTCAGGCTTTTTGCTTTGTGGAAAACAAAGTCATCTTCATAAATTAATTTAATTGAATGCATGCTTGACCAAGATAATTGTAGAGTTGACCCTCTCTATTGGATCCTCTTCCGCAGGAGATCACGTTCTGTAGAAGATCACTTTTCTGATTCTTGTAAAATTACTGTTTGCCAGAATTTCTTTTTTTTTTTGAAAGAGTGTTTGTGATGGGAGAGGGACACCTCAGAAACAAAAAATAAATTTTACATCTGTGAGTTAAAGTTATGTTTTGAAATTGTACAGCAACCACATTTTGAGATTCAAGAGAGGGTTTCAACCTTTTGAAAATTGTCTTAAAATGTGCGAAAAGTGTAACCACCAGGGCTGTAGCCAGACTTCAGAACAAGATGAGGCAAGTTTTGAGCACCAAAGGCGTGAGCTGCCAGGGGGGTATGGGGGCATGCCCCCCCCCC